GATAGCGTGTGGAAATAAGATCAGGGCTGTATATATCTGACCGGGACGAGAGACGGGGGTGGGGGGGGGGGGTGTTAGACTATGTACAGCTGCTAATATTATTTCAATTGTACATTATTTATATTTGACAGTAATCAGAAATTCAAATAAAGAGCGAGAGGCCCTCAGCTTGATAGCGTGTGGAAATAAGATCAGGGCTGTATATATCTGACCGGGACGAGAGACGGGGGTGGGGGGGGGGGGGTGTTAGACTATGTACAGCTGCTAATATTATTTCAATTGTACATTATTTATATTTGACACTAATCAGAAGTTCAAATGTTTATCAAATATCAGCTATTTAAAGCTATCTGCTGGGGCCTTTCATTTCAGATCTGACAGCGAACAATGGGGTAATGAAGACTGAAAAATAGGGTGTCTTGTAGCCCAGAACTAACATAATAATACAATGATAGACCGTAGGACTGTATTGGGTTGGTAAGGTCGAGATGGAATAGAATAATTCATTGAATAAATAGAAACTTTTTACGAGTCTTTTTTTTCTCTTTTAAACTCTCTCTTTCTCTTTTAAACTCTCTCTCTTTTAAACTCTCTCTTTCTCTTTTAAACTCTCTCTTTCTCTTTTAAACTCTCTCTTTCTCTTTTAAACTCTCTCTTTCTCTTTTAAACTCTCTCTTTCTCTTTTAAACTCTCTCTCTTTTAAACTCTCTCTTTCTCTTTTAAACTCTCTCTTTCTCTTTTAAACTCTCTCTTCCTCTTTTAAACTCTCTCTTTATCTTTTAATCTTTCTCTTTCTCTTTTAAACTCTCTCTCTTTCTCTTTTAAACTCTCTCTTTCTCTTTTAAACTCTCTCTTTCTCTTTTAAACTCTCTCTCTTTTAAACTCTCTCTTTCTCTTTTAAACTCTCTCTTTCTCTTTTAAACTCTCTCTTCCTCTTTTAAACTCTCTCTTTATCTTTTAATCTTTCTCTTTCTCTTTTAAACTCTCTCTTCCTCTTTTAAACTCTCTTTCTCTTTTAAACTCTCTCTTTATCTTTTAATCTTTCTCTTTCTCTTTTAAACTCTCTCTTTCTCTTTTAAACTATCTCTCTCTTTCCCTTTTAAACTCTGTCTTTCTCTTTTAAACTATCTCTCTCTTTCTCTTTTAAACTCTGTCTTTCTCTTTTAAACTCTGTCTTTCTCTTTTAAACTCTGTCTTTCTCTTTTAAACTCTGTCTTTCTCTTTTAAACTATCTCTCTCTTTCTCTTTTAAACTCTGTCTTTCTCTTTTAAACTCTGTCTTTCTCTTTTAAACTCTGTCTTTCTCTTTTAAACTATCTCTCTCTTTCTCTTTTAAACTCTCTCTTCCTCTTTTAAACTCTCTCTTTCTCTTTTAATCTTTCTCTTTCTCTTTTAAACTCTCTCTTCCTCTTTTAAACTCTCTTTCTCTTTTAAACTCTCTCTTTCTCTTTTAAACTATCTCTCTCTTTCTCTTTTAAACTCTGTCTTTCTCTTTTAAACTCTCTCTCTTTTAAACTCTCTCTTTCTCTTTTAAACTCTCTCTTTCTCTTTTAATCTTTCTCTTTCTCTTTTAAACTCTCTCTTCCTCTTTTAAACTCTCTTTCTCTTTTAAACTCTCTCTTTCTCTTTTAAACTATCTCTCTCTTTCTCTTTTAAACTCTCTTTCTCTTTTAAACTCTCTCTTTCTCTTTTAAACTATCTCTCTCTTTCTCTTTTAAACTCCCTCTTTCTCTTTTAAACTCTCTCTTTCTCTTTTAAACTCTCTCTCTTTGTCTTTTAAACTCTTTCTTTCTCTTTTAAACTCTCCCTTTCTCTTTTAAACTCTCTCTTTCTCTTTCTCTTTTAAACTCCCTCTTTCTCTTTTAAACTCTCTCTTTCTCTTTTAAACTCTCTCTTTCTCTTTCTCTTTTAAATTCTCTCTTTCTCTTTTAAATTCTCTCTTTCTCTTTCAAGCTCTCTCTTTCTCTTTCTAATTCTCTCTTTTTCTTTCCAACTCCCTCTTTCTCTTTCCAACTCTCACTTTCTCTTTCCAACTCTCTCTTTCTCTTTCAAGCTTTCTCTTTCCAGCTCCCTCTTTCTCTTTCCAGCAGCATCTCTCTCTCTCTTTCAATCTCTCTCTCTCTCTCTCTCTCTCTTTCAAGATCTCTCTTTATCTTTATGTATTTCCTGATTTCCATTTCTACTCAACCTTCCAATGTTCTGCTTATCGTCTTTCCTTTTAACTGGATGTTTTCTCGTATCTCCTCTATTGTTACTAATTTTTATTCATTCACTCCCTCTGTCGTTCTCTCTCTCATTTTCTCACTCTCACTCTCATTCACTCCTTTATTTTTCTTCTACCTCTCTCTCTCTTTCCCTCTCGTTCTCTCCCCCCTCTCTCTCTCTTTCTCTCTCTCTCTTTTAAACCTAAAAACTACTCTCTAATGTGTTTCAAATTTGTCGCCCCCCTCTGATCTTTTGACTATGACATAAATAATAGTTAAATATTATAAGGCGATCAAATGTTATTAATTTAACGAGAGTAATAAGATCTTATTTGAATCTTGCCCAGTTTCTTTTTCATTCAAACTCTCTCCTTCTCCTCAATTTTTCATTCAAACTCTCTCCTTCTCCTCAATTTTTCATTCAAACTCTCTCCTTCTCCTCAATTTTTCATTCAAACTCTCTCCTTCTCCTCAATTTTTCATTCAAACTCTCTCCTTCTCCTCAATTTTTCATTCAAACTCTCTCCTTCTCCGCAATTTTTCATTCAAACTCTCTCCTTCTCCTCAATTTTTCATTCAAACTCTCTCCTTCTCCGCAATTTTTCATTCAAACTCTCTCCTTCTCCGCAATTTTTCATTCAAACTCTCTCCTTCTCCGCAATTTTTCATTTAAACTCTCTCCTTCTCCTCAATTTTTCATTCAAACTCTGTACTTCTCCTCAATTTTTCATTCAAACTCTCTCCTTCTCCGCAATTTTTCATTCAAACTCTCTCCTTCTCCGCAATTTTTCATTTAAACTCTCTCCTTCTCCTCAATTTTTCATTCAAACTCTGTACTTCTCCTCAATTTTTCAATCAAACTCTCTCCTTCTCCTCAATTTTTCATTCAAACTCTCTCCTTCTCCGCAATTTTTCATTCAAACTCTCTCCTTCTCCTCAATTTTTCATTTAAACTCTCTCCTTCTCCTCAATTTTTCATTCAAATTCTCTCCTTCTCCTCAATTTTTCATTCAAACTCTCTACTTCTCCTCAATTTTTCATTCAAACTCTCTCCTTCTCCTCAATTTTTCATTCAAACTCTCTCCTTCTCCTCAATTTTTCATTCAAACTCTCTCCTTCTCCTCAATTTTTCATTCAAACTCTCTCCTTCTCCTCAATTTTTCATTCAAACTCCCTCCTTCTCCTCAATTTTTCATTCAAACTCTCTCCTTCTCCTCAATTTTTCATTTCACACCTCCCTCGAATGCCGCCCCCCCCCCACCTCCCCCCATCCACACCCCATTGCATAATATAGAAACTGTGTTCAGGCCGTGTGAAAAAAAATGTTAATCGTAATAAAGGTGTGGGGAGATCGAGGGCTGCAATCACGTTAGGTAGAAGGAAATGTGTGAAACAAAGTATGGGGGAGGGGGGGACTGAACAAATTGCGTAACAAAACAATAAACGTATCGGCAAGATGTCCTCTTCGGCGTAAATAGAAAACGAGTAACACAAATATAAAAAATTAAACGTTAGCTGAAACATTGTATCGGAGATGACGGAAAGAGGAAATGAATAGACCATTAGTAGGTCAGAGAGTCAAAGTCAATATAGGCAAGAGAAATGTAATAGACCATTAGTTGGTCAGAGACTTATTGTAGGTTAAAGAGTGAATGTAAGTTAAAGAGTCTATGCAGGTAATAAAGTCAATGTAGGTTAAAGAGTTAATGTGAAAAAATGTTAATAACCAGACTGGTAAAAGCCTGATAGCAAGAGGACACAATGAAGACGCATTGCTTGTATTCTCTTCCTATTCCAGCTTCTACCTGTCTCGTCGTAAAGACATGTCCTCATGTTGTATGTGGTGACATCTCTCTGCAGAGTTCCCCATATTTCACATATTCACTCTCCTACTAAAGACATTTTCTCATGTTGTATGTGGTGACATCTCTCTGCAGATTTCCTCATATTTCACATTTTCACTCTCCAACTAAAGATATGTTCTCATGTTGTATGTGATGGCATCTCTCTGCAGAGTTCTCTATTTTCACACATTCACTCTCCTACTAAAGTCATTTCACGCATTCCATCAATATCTAGTATTATTCTTCCTCTCTTCTGCTCTCTCTCTCTCTCTCTATCTCTCTCTCTTCTGCTCTCACTCTCTTCTCTCATATCACACGCCTGTTTAATCATCATACCAATAAAAAAATGATAACAATGAAAAAATAAAAATAATGAAGTCAAAATTAATTAAATTTACTGTTGTTAAAATTCTTTTTTGCTGTATAATATATATACATATTTTAACATTGTCTTTTCAGTTGCCCCCTTTTATTTGACGTCACATTTCTCAACCCCCATGTCTTCCCCCCAAACCTAGTAGCAAATGTCTCCCCCCCTCCCCCCCCCCCATTCCCCCTCACAAAACCCCCTTTTCCACTGTACATGAAGTCATTTACAGACGGCCCTAACCCCCGCCTAAAAGTCAAAATTAATTAAATTTACTGTTGTTAAAATTCTTTTTTGCTGTATAATATATATACATATTTTAACATTGTCTTTTCAGTTGCCCACTTTTATTTGACGTCACATTTCTCACCCCCCATGTCTTCCCCTCAAACCTAGTAGCAAATGTCTCCCCCCCTCCCCCCCCCCATTCCCCCTCACAAAACCCCCTTTTCCACTGTACATGAAGTCATTTACAGACGGCCCTAACCCCCGCCTAACCGTGTTCAATTACTCCTATTAATCCCCACCCCCCACCTACCTCTACCCTTTCCTTCACATTCACCGACCAGTTTCTCCCCTACCAGCCCACAACACACACAAACATATCTGGGGTCCAAGCAAGGTCTGTCTACCTTACATGACGCTCCATACTTGCGCCAAATTTCACCTGTAAGTCAGAACAACGCGTTCATACATTACTGGTTTATTTCTTTCAGGCTTGGATTTGAACCTAAACACTCCACCGACCGCTCCACGGAGGGGACCTCTAAGTACAGGTAATGTCGCTATCGTAGTTTGGGTAATTAGTGGATGTGATAATGTGATCACTTTAATATGTGTCAGATTTCACGCAGTCACTGGACCATAGCAATGTCAACACTGTTTTCTTTTAAAAGTCGATCAACGAACTGTAACGGACCCGTGTTTAAGACGACTGTTTCAAAATGATTTTCGGTTTTAGCGACTGTCTTAAATTAAGTACCGGGTAGCCTCGGTGTGGGGCAATGTGGCAGTGTGGTAATGGGGCAATGTGGCAATGTGGCCAAGTTTTAACAAATGTCTGTGGATTAGGCGTCAGAAAAATGAATACTTTTTCTGGAAATTTCGGCGGACCATCATTTAAAAAAAAGTTCTCTCTCTCTCTCTCTTTTCATCTCTCTCCCTCGCTATCTCTCTCTCTCTCTCTCTCTCTCTTTCTCTCTATCTCTCTCTCTCTATCTCTCTCTCTCTATCTCTCTCCCCAAATCTTTATGTGAGCTTGTCAATAGTCATGGCTGTGGGGTTTTGACTTTGAAATCCGTTGTATGTCCCAGCGGCAAAATGGAAATTATTATTTTAAATGTAACTACCTGCGTATTCAACATAAGGCGTGCATTAGATTAAGAACATCTTGTTGATTGTTGACATAGTTTTATTAAAAAAAATGGCGTCATTTGTTTCTATACAGGCATCAGGGCAGTGGTTGAAACATATAAGACCTACTGCAGTGTCTCACAAACTTGTCTACACTCCGCACCACCCCCTGCCCCCCACCCACCCTTGGCACTTTTTAACAACGTATCACAGCTCCCACCCCCACCCCCACCCCCAACTCATGTAACAATTATTTGTTCATTTCAAAATCGGAATATAGAAATAGACATCTCATTGTTCAATCAAAGTCTACAAATTGAATACGAAAGCGTACCAAATAAAACGGTGACTTTAAATATTACAGAGTAACATAAAACGGTAATGGTGACCATCTAAACATCTATTGTCCCTTCATGACCTAAAGGTCGACAGCCCCACTGCTCTTGTAATCATTTGTCCTTAAGGTCAACAACCCCACTGCTCTTGTAATCATTTGTCCAAAAGGTCGACAGCCCCACTGCTCTTGTAATCATTTGTCCTAAAGGTCGACAGCCCCATTGCTCTTGTAATCATTTGTCCTTAAGGTCAACGACCCCACTGCTCTTGTAAGCATTTTTCCTTAAGGTCAACAACCCCACTGCTCTTGTAATCATTTGTCCTTAAGGTCAACGACCCCACTGCTCTTGTAATCATTTGTCTTTAAGGTCAACAACCCCACTGCTCTTGTAAACATTTGTCCTTAAGGTCAACAACCCCACTGCTCTTGTAATCATTTGTCCTTAAGGTCAACAACCCCACTGCTCTTGTAATCATTTGTCCTTAAGGTCAACGACCCCACTGCTCTTGTAATCATCTGTCCTTAAGGTCAACAACTCCACTGCTCTTGTAAACATTTTTCCTTAAGGTCAACAACCCCACTGCTCTTGTAATCATTTGTCTTTAAGGTCAACAACCCCACTGCTCTTGTAAACAGTTTTCCTTAAGGTCAACGACCCCACTGCTCTTGTAATCATCTGTCCTTAAGGTCAACAACTCCACTGCTCTTGTAAACATTTTTCCTTAAGGTCAACAACCCCACTGCTCTTGTAATCATTTGTACTTAAGGTCAACAACCCCACTGCTCTTGGAACCATTTGTCCTTAAGGTCAACAACCCCACTGCTCTTGTAATCATTTGTACTTAAGGTCAACAACCCCACTGCTCTTGTAACCATTTGTCCTTAAGGTCAACAACCCCACTGCTCTTGGAACCATTTGTCCTTAAGGTCAACAACCCCACTGCTCTTGGAACCATTTGTCCTTAAGGTCAACAACCCCACTGCTCTTGTAACCATTTGTCCTTAAGGTCAACAACCCCACTGCTCTTGGAACCATTTGTCCTTAAGGTCAACAACCCCACTGCTCTTGTAATCATTTGTCCTCACAATCCATGGAAAGAGCCCCAGGTTGGGAAACCCCCGCCCCTTACAGGGGTGAATGGGCCGGGTTTGGTGTAATCTCGTGACTTCTTAATTCAGAACGAATGACATATTTTTGTCAAACTTTACTGCGCCATCGATTAAATTGAAAACCCATAACCACAGCTTCACACTACAGCAAGCATAACCACAGCTTCACTTTACAGCAAGCATAACCACGACTTCACATTACAGCAATCATAACTACAGCTTCACATTACAGCAAGCATAACCACAGCTTCACTTTACAGTAAGCATAACCACAGCTTCACAATACAACAAGTATAACCACAGCTTCACTTTACAGAAAGCATAACTACAGCTTCACATTACAGCAAGCATAATCACGACTTCACATTACAGCAAGCATAACCACGACTTCACATTACAGCAAGCATAACTACAGCTTCACATTACAGCAAGCATAACCACAGCTTCACTTTACAGTAAGCATAACTACAGCTTCACATTACAGCAAGCATAACCACAGCTTCACACTACAACAAGTATAACCACAGCTTCACTTTACAGAAAGCATAACTACAGCTTCACATTACAGCAAGCATAACTACAGCAAGCATAACCACAGCTTCACTTTACAGCAATGTCTCTTCAAACTTTTCCCTCTTTAAAAATGTCGTCGGCAAATTGTATGACAAGTACTATGTGCCCAATCTGCTAAAGAACAATAAATTATGATTTATCTACTAAACTACGGTACGTGTATCTACTGAAGCCGGGGTCGGCAACCTATGGCACGCGTGTCAGGCTTGGCACAAATAGCGATTTTCATTGACACGTGGAAGACCCACAAAAGTTATTATAAATGACAAAAAAGACGTCTTAAATGGTAGACGTATGAACTATTGGCACGCTGAATGAATTAGAAGTCTACTTTGCTACGCTGAATGATTTAGAACTCTTACTTTTGCACGCTGAATGAATTAGAAGTCCTACTTTGGCACGCCGAATGGATCAGAAGTCCTACTTTGAGTGTTTACTAATGCCGACCCCTGTACTACAGCATAGTTTTATATGTATCTATTACAGTACTGTTTATCAACTAACGCATATGTTTTTATGTAGCTACTAAAGTATATGTTTATATGTATCTACTAAGGTATAATATGTTTATATGTATCGATTAAAGTTATGTTTATAAATATCTACTAAAGTATAGTTTGAATATATATCTCATAAAGTTCGGCTATTATGTATATCTACTAAAGTTCTAGCACATGAATCAACTAAAGTGCGGTGCATTTATCCACTAAAGTACGGCCCAAGAACTCGTAGCTAATGAAATGTAAATTAGGACTAACAGTTTTCTAACACTCCATGTAAGGATTTGCTTAACCTAAAATAGATACAAGTGTCTGTAGCGATCAAATGTGTGGACCAGCAGGTTTGCTGAGGACACAGAGCACACCATTCTAGTGTGGGAACGTCTTGCCTATCTTTGACTAGGTAAAAAAATGCTTCTTTGCCCATATGCTTAACTTGAACTGAAGAAGGTTTTTTTTTTTTTTTAAATAGTTTTTTTGTTTACAATATTGTAACTGTCTCATTGACAGTGAATGATTGTTGACATTAAGCTACAGTACGAATGATACACGCTGTGTTACTGGAATGATGAATGAATCTCGAAGACACATTCTAAAATGGTTTCTTTCTTTAATGGCGTAAGGCAATTTTCAGGGAATAGGGCCCGTGATTATAAATCTTATAGGACAAAAGTATTTTTAAAAAAACACAATAAAAATTGTTGGCCTTTTTACTGCTCTAAAGATATTTGGAAATTATTTTCTTAAATAGATGACTTATCTAGCATTTTTAAAAGGGGGGTGCGGGCTGAAAAGGGGGGGTGGGGAATAAAGTATTTTAATAGTTTTAGATAACTTCATTGTTTTCCTTTCATTTTTAGAGAAGAGTTGTTTCCCATTTTACAATTTGGTGCAGAAGTCTAAACTTCCCTTTAACTTTAATGACTTTAGTACCGTACTAAAATAGTACTCACTTGTATATATCTTGTATCTAGACTCTAGACGATAGGGACTTCACGCCAACAAAGTATTTTGATCGGTGTCCTGACTGCAGCCCAGAGAAGAGAGTTGTATACCCACCCCACTTTTTTCTAACTAAATGAGTTTTGTAATGTAACTGTTTGGAACTTTTAACATCCCCCCCCCCCAAAAAAAAAACCCAACAAAGTATTTTGATCGGTGTCCTGACTGCAGCCCAGAAAAGAGAGTTGTATACCCCCCCCCCTTTTTTCTAACTAAATGAGTTTTGTAATGTAACTGTTTGGAACTTTTAACATCCCCCCCCCCCCAAAAAAAAAAACCACCACCACCACATGTATCTGTATGCATAACTTCTAAATGTACATAAGTTCGATCAATAGCCTCTACTAAAAAGAGGTGTGTGTATATCATTCCTTTAAGTTTTTTTGTAGCGGTCTCACTGGTTGCCGATTTTATTTATGATTTGAAACATGTTTTTAAATAAGAAAATCATGCTTTAACATAGTCAAAGAAACGAAGAAAGAGAGAGTGAAATAGTCAAAGAAATTAAGATAGAGAGCAGAGAGAGTGACAAAAGGGGTAATAAGGAAAAGTTTGTAATGTTTTTGAGGTAATTGAAAAATCTGGAAAGTGTCCAAAATCTGGAGATGATTAAATATCAAGGTGAGATGTTGAGAGGGTTTTGTGGTTTATAATCTGCTGAGCTGTGCACGGAGGGAAGGTGAGAGGAGAGGGCTCCAGCAATCCTCCTTCACACCATCTTCTCACCGTCTACACCATCTCCTAGACGGCATGGAGAAGGATTACCGATCCTCATTTTAAGAGCATAATAATGTATTTGTAAATAAAGCCGGTAGTGACAGGAACTTCACTACTCATCACGATCGACTCAGACCTTGAGACCATGTAAAGAAACGTTGTTCTGTCTAGGGCAGCGGTTCTCAGCCTGTTGGCCGCGACACCTTTGGGGAGTCGAACGACCCTAACACAGGGATCGCCTAAGGAAAACAAGTGTTTATGAAGTAGCAACGAAAATGGTTTTATGGTTTGGGGGGGGGGGTGTCACCATAACATGAGGAACTGTATTAAAGGGTCGCGGCATTAGGAAGGTTGAGAACCACTGGTCTAGAGCCTTTTGGCTACTGAAACATGAACTCTTTGTTCGATGCAACATAAGCGAACATTTTATGCATTGGTGTATACGGATAATTAACTGGGGTGAGGGTAATAGAACTTGGGGGTTTGGGGTAAAGGGCACTTAGGGGAAAGGGGGGTATTTATAGAGTGCATCTTCAATTAACGGTATTCCCCAATCAACACACCAAATTCACCGGAGTCAAGTGTCAGAGGTCAGGGTTCAGTGCCACCGTGGAAGAGAGATACAGAAATGGTTCACACATATTCGAAAGAATTTTTCAAGTTTTCAAACCTTAAATTATTATAAATCCCATTTGAACAACGTCAGGTAAGCATGGACGAAACGTGTCAGAGGCGTAGCGAGAGTGTTTGGCGCCCGGGGACACGATTCACTTGAAAGAGCCTCCTCTTCTAGGTTTCAATTCTCAAATCCATTATTTTCAGTACCGGTAATAAAATAATATTAAAGCACATTTTGGCGCCCAAACTAGTCTGGCACCCACAGAAATCCTCCCCCCCCCCAGCGACCCCTCCTTTTTACTACGCCCCTGAAACTTGTATCTGAGCTCATTCTGGAATAACGTCAGAAGATCAAGTACGGTACAATTGAAGATAATCAGGGTTTTATTCTTGATATATTTCAACTCGATCCTCAGGCTTTGCTTAATTTAAACCTTGTGTGGCCGCTGGTTCATTTCCCATTCTCATAGCTGCTGTATCCTAACGTTCCCTTCCGAGTGCCACATTGTTCTAGATACTTTTTTTCATTTTTATTTTGTTTCGGGTATCTATTTTTTGTATTCTTATCTTTTTTTTTGAGGAGTTTTCAAAGCTGGTGATGGATGCTGGATGGCTCCGTGGAAATGATGTTGGCGATGTCATATTATTGTCATTATTCTACCAAGTTTGCTTCTTTTACGCATCTCTGAAAGAGATTTAAGAGCTAATTTTATTTATTTATTTATTTTTTTTAATTGGATGGTGCCTTCTCTTTGCGTTGGCGTTAAACTTCTATTCAGAACACCCCCTACACGCTTAAGAATATATTTTTTAAAACTAAATAATGAATACATTATATCATTAAATTAGATAACGATGTTTGATGACATTCAATCATTCATTTCAGACCCTAACCATCATGGCTGCCGGCAATGTACAGATCCCCAAACTGACCGATGGCTACTTGGGCCCACAAGCCAAATTCGAAGCTTACGGGCTCACCCTCGTGTCTCACGGCGACCCGGTCATCTTCATGCAAGATGACCAGAAGGAAGTGGAGATCATTCTAGGCATCCAGCCGGGGACAAGGGTCACGATCAAACTCTTGTCCCACGAGAGAAAACAAGAATGCAACGACTACTGCCTGATCAGACAACTGGGGCCCAACTACCTCTTCCTGATTCGCCCGCCCCTGCCCGGTTTCTACAAATTCCAGATCTACGCGCTCCCGAGCGACGAGGCCGGTCCGCAGATGCTGGGCGTGTACAACTATCTCATTTACAGCCCCGGCAGCTTTGGGGACAATCCTTTTCCCAAGCAGTACCCGCCGTGGAAGGACGGCTGCTACCTGTACGAGCCGATATCCTTGCCCCGTGGGATCAGGGACCCCATGGTTAAGTTTAAGGTGCTGATCCCCAAGGCGAGAGACGTTCAAGTGAAAGTCGCCGAGGAATGGAACCCGCTGCAGCAATCGGAGCCGGGGATATTCGAGGGGCTGGTAGACTTTAGCCTCGGTTACCCTTCAGGGGCTAAGGCGAAACTGAATGTTAAATTCGCTGGGAACAATTATAACACGCTCTTGGAATATTCGCTTTAAAATTTACTGCATTTCTTCTGCCGTTTAAATTTAACCACTGCGCATATCTTAATCTTAGCTTGGATGTGGAGGTCGCTACGTTACATTTTAAATAAGTATTCTGTACGAAATAGAACAAGGATGTTTTGTTCCTTTAGACACGGTAACAGGAAAAATGTTTCTTTTATATTGGTATATAAATGTATTATTATTTTTTTTTTTTATTAAACAGTACAAGAGAGTAGAAAATGCTTCATTTTGACCATTTTCTCTGAATAATAATAATATTATAATCTCTAGGACATTAATCAGTAGGCCTGACAGAGAAGCTAGCCTGAAATGATGCAATGGTTGCCTTCTAACGTTTAAAAGCCAAGAACGTCACGGGTTACTGTGGTCTTGTGTCAGACTGACAAACTGCCAGACAACGTGATGACGTGATGGGATCGAAACAAACAACGTAAACACTAGATAAACTGGTTGGGGGGAGGGGGGGTGGGGCTTCTACTTCTTTACAACCTTGGAAACATGTTGCTGGTTGAATGCTTTAGCTTATCATGGGCTCATTATGATAAAGTATTTTCAGAAAAGTCAATATATCTTATCCTGGCCTTTAAATAGCGCCGACACGAGTGTGCTAAAGATTGTAACCAGTGGACTCGGTGGCATTCCCTTGATTTCAATTTTACAAAATGGAGAGCTGGTGCAGAAATTTTCCCAGTTTTCTTAATCTTAAAACACCTCTGTCATAAATGTAAAAATGACATCAATTATATTTCAAAAGTTTATATTTTAATAATAATCCGGCAACTCTGGAATAATTTTCTAGCTCTGGGTAACTGTCCGTCCCTCGGCACGACACTTGATAATTTTGTGGAAAAACGTAGTGGGAAAAAAAGGAAATGTGAGAAGTGTGAAATAGTGACGTAATATTGAAACCACGTGTTTGTTTGTTTTGTCGTGTCCTTTTTAAAGTGAAGATGATTGGCTGCCCTATAAATAGTTGTTTTTTTTTTATTCACACATCTAATAGACCGTTTTAAATCAGATGATTGAGACGTTCATATACTTACTTAACTAGATAACAAGGCAATAAACATTGTTGTATTATAGTTAGACAGAGGAAAATGGCTTTGTAGAACTTCTATTTCTATTGAATTTAGCTCTCACGTCCTTTTGATACATTGTTTATTTTAGTGAGTTTTTTTTTTTTTTTTATATTCCTTTGTCATCAAGAAACATCGCAGCAGACTTTGCAACTAATTATCTGCCCTTGTGGCAATGCTTTTCATAGTCCTGGTGTTCATTTCTTGCTTTTTTTTTTTTTTTTTTTTTTTTTTTGGGTTTTGTTTTTTTTTTTTTTTTTTTTTTTTTTTTTTTTTTTTTTTTTTTTGGATGCTGATTTTTTTTAAATGCACGTTTGCCAGCACATAAAATACACCAAAGAAAACGAACTTTCAATTTCTGAACTTAGTGAATTTAGTGTAGCAGAAAAGAACTAATCTAAATATGTCAAAGTAAAAGACGCATCGGCAGAGGCGTAGCATGGGTGTTTGGCGCCCGGGGACAAGATTCGCGCCCGGGGACAAGATCCATTTTTAAGCGCCCCCTTTTCTTTTTTTACAACTCTCAAACCCATTATTTTTACCGATAATAAGCACATTTTGGCGCCCTAACTAGCCCGAGGACATCTGTCCCCCCTGCCCCCCCCCCCCGCCACCCCAAGATCCATTTTTAAGCGCCCCCTTTTCTTTTTTTACAACTCTCAAACCCATTATTTTTACCGATAATAAGCACATTTTGGCGCCCTAACTAGCCCGAGGACATCTGTCCCCCCTGCCCCCCCCCCCGCTACGCCTCTGCGCATCGGGCTGCCATACTGTAGTTAGTGTACCATGTAATATTGCTGCTTTGTGATGATATCTATCGTCTTCCTGAACCAATAGCCATTTTAGGAATGTGTCCGTCGGCCTGAGGCAAGCAGTTTGCAGGTCATCCTTAAGTGTCTGCGTGTATTCTGGCAATAGTGGTCGATTATAACATCAATACACTCTTAATTATTGATCGGTGGCCGAGGTTTCACTTCAAATTCGTTATTTCCATAGAGTCGTATATCGATTGTTTAATAGAAACATTACGAATTAGAGAACAATCAGTGTTAATATTTACTTATATCGCGCTGTCAACTTGGTGATACTACAATCAAATTTATTGTAACAAAACTGTCTCATCGATGTATTATAGTAATTAGCATGTGACCATGGTTGGCCACTGACTTTTCATCTGTTCGGGGAAGCTTGGCGAATTGTAATGTCGCTTTAGTAGCCCACAATTATAGGCTAAATAATGTTATTGTTAACAAGTTTTTATGATATCTTGCTTGTAAAACGAGGAGGGGTGTCACGTGTAAGTTCAGCACCTGCACACATCATTGTCTTGAATATTTTTGTATAAAATAACGTGATATAAAATTTGAATCTATTTACTGTCACTGCATTCATTTTCTTTGACTTGTACGCCCACCCGAGGTCGTGTTTCTCAACTTACTATCACATGTTATCATTGGACAATTTTAACTTCACCAACTCAATATATATCACTTTTGTATACAGTACAGAACCTTCTCACATTCTGTCCTTGTTAATTCCTCCACTGAGCACAAATAGCCCGTGATTTTTTATTTTTTTCCTTATGTATACGACTTTTAATAACAAAAATATATACCTTTTTTATAAAACGCAAATGAGTTTTATTATATATTTTAAGTTCAGATGTCTGAGTTATGTTTACATTGTTCTTTTAAATGTTACATTACATAGTTTATCGACTTGTTTCATAGTCATTAAACCACAGTGACCTCCCCCTGGCACCAGAGATTCCCTCCAACTGAACATACAATTCCGTTTCTTGCACACGTAAACACGTTCAATATCTGGTTAGTTGCCAGGATGCTGCTGGAACAATTCAGGAAAGGGGGGGGGGGGGGGGGGGGGGGGGGGGGGGGTTCGCAGACGCCTGAGCTGGTGAAAAATACAACTGGATGCCAGAAAAATTACCTGGATTTATGGACAGCCCTGAGCGGGTACCTGAAAGTCTAGTCTAAGACCCACGCATCACTCAAAAAACAAGTTGGTTGACGTACGTGCCACATTTAAACGATGTTATAAGTGTTAGGCTGATGGACTTCTTTAAGGGTTGTACTTATACATTGGTAACGAAAGTTGACAAATCCATTATTTTCACTTTGTATTTAGCCGGCGCCCTTCAGTCCCTAAGTGTGAAAGGCGATTGGTAAACCGGTAGCCATACACACAGCCAGCTCATTCTATAAGCCGTTAGGTTATAAGACAGGTACAGAATCCCTGACTCGTCCATGCTACAAATGTAGATTGATGTGACATACCACTTAACCCAATATGCTGATGTATGCGAGACCATACCACTTGCGACCTCATTAACCTTATCTACTGTTGGATGTGAGACCATACCACTTGCGAGCTCATTAACCTAATATGCTGATGTATGTGAGACCATACCACTTGCGAGCTCATTAACCTTATCTACTGTTGGATGTGAGACCATACCACTTGCGAGCTGATTAACCTTATCTACTGTTGGATGTGAGACCATACCACTTGCGAGCTCATTAACCTTATCTACTGTTGGATGTGAGACCATACCACTTGCGAGCTCATTAACCTTATCTACTGTTGGATGCGAGACCATACCACTTGCGAGCTCGTTAACCTAATACACTGAAGGATGTGAGACCATCCCCTTGCGAGCTTCTTAACCTTATTTACTGATGTATGTGAGACCATAACACTTGCGAGCTCATTAACCTTATACAATGATGGATGTGATACCATACCATTAGAAAGCCCCCTCAATCCATCATCTCGAATTTCCTTGAACCATAACGAGGCTGCCGTGTAGAGGCAGTGGATGCGAGAGACAGCTGAGCAACAAAACAGTAGGATAAGCATTTCACTTTCTCTCCATCCCACCTTTCCAAGTACACACGCGCGGACACACACAAAGAACTGTCTGTAATAGTAGCAGAAGAGGATCTAAAACTATCACTATTATAGTCACAATTTTACTTTCATTTAAGACTTAGGAGTACTGAATAAGTGTATGTTTAGCTGAATAAAATATCTATCAGACCACAGCAAACACAAAAATAATAACCTCATCACTAAACACAGAATCTATGTTCTTTTTAGATACCCTATCAGCACAAACATATAATCCAAGCCAGGCCCACCGAGAAGGGGGGGGGGGGGGAAAATGCCCAGGGGCCCGGCGAGTTTTAGGGGCCCGGCCCGGGCCGTGACAGCCCTGCCTGGGGGGCCCGTGACAGCCCTGCCTAGGGGCCCGAAATTTCTGTCAACGGGCCTGATCCAAGCACAACACAGATAATATCTAAGAACAACTTTCGACAATCCATGTTACCGGTGTAGTGAGATCAAATCAGCACAGACCGGTATAGTGAGATCAAATCAGCACAGACCGGTATAGTGAGATCAAATCAGCACAGACAATCACAGCAGTGAACAGATAATCACTGTACAAAACAGCTGATAATCCTACTCATTTTCTAAAGTGATCATGTTTCCAGCCTATTCTGTAACAGATATTCAAAGTAAAATACAGACATCTTTAAAGACGGAAGAAGCATTTATTGCAGAGATGAAATGCATTAACTACATCACAAAAATAATGTATATATTATAAATAAAACAAGCCAAGGTACCTAGTTACAAGTGAAGGATGACACTTTTAAGTCCAAATATCTCTCTACTGGCCTAATATCTTACCAGCTATCCCCATACATTTTATGTGGTGGTAATAAATATTTTTGTATATATCACTTGCCATCTTTGTGCAATATTTCAAGCACAAACATTTTTTATAAAAAGAGGTTAGAACAAATATAAAAATTTGACAGCAAATGATGTGAATATTTTTTTCTTTATTTCAGAAAATGTATTATTTAACTAAATTCACTAGATTAAAAACTTACAGTAACATGATTTGGAGGAGGATTACTTGTCATGGCCATTAGTAGCATGGGATATAATAGTTTATGCATTGTGCTCAGACAACAGTTAAAAAAAAAATGTGCTTTCAAACAACAGTATTTAGTATAAACTATCATATAATGTTTACATCATCTAATGCCATTAAAAAAATAAAACACCAAGAAGTCAATGCTGAGATGAGAATGATGAGTTTTTTCAAATCAGATGTGGTTTTTTCCAAAACTGTAATTCAAGAAAGCCCATCAGAAAAATAAAATTGAAAAAAAAAAAAACGGTTGTTCTTGAATGTTGCTCTTTTTGTCCATGGTTAAAATCAATGTAGTAAGTAATGCACTTGCACAGCTAAGATACAGAGTAAATGAGTAAAGCACAGAGTGTACAATAAATTGTTGAATGGAAATTAAAAATATAGATTTAAAAAAAACAGAAGAATAATCACATTGGCAGTGCACATATGCCGCTTTAAAAAGCTATCACTTTGTTTTTTGTAAAGAAAATAAACCCTTTGTATAAAAATGTGCCTCGTAGAAAATTCAAAGATTATAATAGAAAAAAGAACCCCTTGACACACGTGAAATGGTGATGCAATAAACCATGTCGATATTTTAACTTTTAAAATGGTCATAACTATTTTGTATGTCCAGAGCAAAGTGTAAAATCCTAGCTTGAAATATGCGCTGAAAGAATACATGTAAGGACCTTTTGTCAAGCTGGTCAATTTAATTATAATTATTTAAAACAAGCAGATTTTTCGCTACAGTGAGTAGAAGGAGTGAGGTCATGGGACCAGTTAAGGAAATGAAAATAGTTGTGTGAGATCAAGAATTGGAGACTAGGACCTTAGAACCAAGACTTTGGTGAATATATGTTGTTAGGTTTTGTATATTGATAGAGAGGACCAGAAAAGTTTGGATGTTATTGCTGTCTTAGTTTTTATATCATGTAACTCTATACCAAAAAATATCCACGGAACCAATGAGTTGTCATTGGTTATAAAAATCAACTGGTAAGGAAGGGTATTTGGTTTCATTTTTTTCCAAGGAAAGTTTTAAAATTAGGGGAGGGGAAATAACCATGCACCTCTCTACAATTGCCTTTCTTTGATCCCATTTTCCAAGTCCTGATTGGTCATTAACAAAATAAAAACAAACAGAAAAAGCAAACTGTTATAACTCCTTTTTTCTTTGGCCAAACCTGTTTTTGTAAAATACAAATAAATTATTGTATCCCCCCCCCCCCCCCCAGCATTCTGTTGTTTTTTATGTAGTTGCCCAATGTGACAGTAAGATAAACTTGACTTACAATGTGTTGAATGAATGCATGGAAAAATTGAAATGCATCATAATCTAGTTTTATTTTTTTTAAAGTGTTTTCTAGTTTTATAAAAAGTAACAGAGAAAAGCCATAATAAAACTATAGAGTTGAGATTAAATAAACCCTCAGACAAACAGGACACTGTACTTTAACAAAATCACCTCATTTTGTTCGTTAATTTGACCTAAGCTCTTCCCATGAGGGATAGTCCATTAGCAATCATGACAAAATGTTTGAGAATAGAATTTGATTATAAATGCCAGTGTGGCATGACCTAAAGCAATTTTATAAATGCTGTATGACATGACCTAAACCAATTTAAAGACCATACTCCAGCAGAGTTGAGTAGCTAGTCTTGTCACCTCCAAAGTTGGCATTTAATGTGACTTTAGCTCCTGATCCATACAAACCAGTCACATCAACAACTTTGGCCCATTCATCACCCTGAGGGCAGAAGAGGACAAGAATATAGGTCAAATCATTTCAATTTATTACACACTTTTTTTTAAAATTATGGGCGACATATGAATACAATAATTTATCAACCAACTGTTTAGACATTTTCATCTAAAATTTTTAAAGAGGGTTGTACCTTCATACACATTTTAACAGTAATAAAAAAAAATTATGTCCGAAAACATACCTGGAGTCTGTCCAGGTGAGTCCAGTTCTGCCCAGCAACTACTGCCACTGCCTCAGCCTTGGGAATGCTGACTCGGAAGTTGATTTGGTTGGGAAGTCTGTCAAGTTGTGCCTGTGAAGCATGTGGACCTCGGTTTGTTGGGATCACACCAGGCTCATACATGAAGCAACCCTCTTTCCACTGAGCATACTGCTTGGGGAATGGGAACACAGCCTGCAAACAAAAATATATACAACATTCATAAAGACAACATGTAGAACAGTCAAATAAGTTTAAGCCATCCATTAAATCAGTTCATGTGATCTATTAAATCTATCCATGCCATCCATTAAATCAGTTCATGTGATCCATTCAGTCTATGTCATTTATTAAATCTCACTTAGAGACAACAGATATTAGCTCAAATAATTACTGAAAGTACTTGACTTTTTAAAAATAACAGGATTGGCTGGTGCATAATAACATACTAAAAGCTGACATAAAACTGTATGGTATCTAAGAAGTGCTTAAGAAATAAAACACAAAGTACTGAAACATTCCTAAAAATGTCCAAATGAAATTAACATGATTTAAATAAATAGAAATTTTTAAAAAGTATATTCTGTTATTCTGATTTTTAAAACATTTCACTCAAAATGGCATGGTACTGAGTAACTAAGAGCTGTGTTAAAAATACTTCCAAATCAACATTGACAGTCTTTAAGAAGTCAATATAAATCATAATAAATGAGAACAAAATTTTTTTAGGAAAAAAAAAGGTACATGGACATAGAAAGTTGTGAGATCAAGTAGTGCCAGACATGTATATCAACTAACCTGTGTGACAGCTTTACAGTTGATGAGATAGTTAAATACACCAGGCAACTGTTGGCTTGGGTCAGCCTGGGGCATGGCATAAATCTGCAGCTTGTAATAACCCACACTGGGCATGTTAACTATGAAGGAGATCTGGGAGCCCAAGCAGTTGGAGAAGACAAAGTCTGGGAACTCTTCGTCGGAGTCCACAGCAATCAGGTTGGCAGTGACCCTCATGGGGTGAGAGGTCTTCATAGCAATTGTGACAGTGTTGACATCAAGGTGGATGACGGGGTCAACATGGGACACACAGAGTAAGCCAAACTCATCAAACCTCTGTTGTTTACCTAGGTAACCATGGGGGAGGCTTGGGAGGGGCTCAACCTGAGAGTACAGAAGTTATTAATGAAACTATCTACATTTTTATATAAAACAACATCTGGTGATATGTGAGGGGACAGTTCAATACTTTGCTTTGAAAAAAAATAACAGAAGAATTATTATGGCAATAGTAGTAACTAGATCCATTTGCCCAATGCATCCTAAGATTTTCTAAGTATTGCAATTATTATTTGAAGACCTGAATGCTAATTAAGAAAGAAATAACTGTCAGAATTTAATTAAAAATTATCTTTTTAAGGGTTACACGTTTTAATGCACAATTAACCTAAAAGATTTCAAAGAAACTTAGAGACAAAAAAAAAAAAAAACTTTTTTTTTATTTCATCAATGCAACGTGATAAATGTCTACACTTATTTTATCTCATACCTTAACATCCTCCTGGCAGAGCACTAAATACTGGGCTACATGATAGAGAGTACTTCCTTCCTTCTCTGGGTTATTAGCATAAATCTCTAATCCATATTCTCCTCTACCCGGACAGCTGACATTAAAGTATGCTGTGTTGCCGACTGTTCTGTGAAGTACAAACCCTTCAAGTTCTGTGTCGCTGAAATGATTGCTCTTCAATTTTGCCATAAACTGCATGTTGCAAGGAATCTTGATCTGAAATGGTTTACATTTAATATACAGTTAAAGGTGCTGAACACAAGCCAATCTAACATTAACTAGCAGTGAAGAGCTGTAAATGTCCACTCATTATCTTTAAACACATTGCTGCCTCTTTACCTGCAGTTCCACTTTTCCCTCTCTGGTGTTGAGTGTGGCTGTCTGTTGGTAGGTGCTCAGGTTGTACCTATAGAAAGCTGATCCTGCACCCCAGTTCAGATATGAACATGGAGGGTAGGGCTCAGGAGGGGGGGATGGGACCACCTCTTGCTCAATCTTGTATTCACAAACTTGGGCATAAACATTGTCTTTGTTCTCGGGCGTGTCTTCTTTGGCATAAATGTAGAGAATGTACGAGCCGGCCACAGGCAAGCGGAGAGAGAATGAGGCTATTCTTCCAGAGCTTTCCTGCAGACCGTATCTACTAAGTTTCACCCCAGCGTACTCTTCATTGCCATCCTCAAACTGCATTGTGAAGTTGAAGGTCACGGCTATTTTGTCAGCTGGGTATCTGAGGCGAATGTGAAGCTCTCCACGACTGTGGATGACACCTGTACGATGGGTTACAAACTCCAAGCCGTACTTGAAGAACTGTGGTTTCATGTGTGGCATGGATTCAAACTCCTGTAGGGTGACACTGCGCTCCAGCAGTTGCCACTGGGGGTCATCAGGGAAGTGGGTGTAGATCAACTGATGGGGATCAGGCAAGAAAAAGTACCTGGAAAAAACACAATTTAATGCAAGGTAAATTTTAATAAATCAAATAGATAAATGTATACTTTTAAGTCTTAAACAACAGAACTGTAAGACAATCAGCAATCCTTTAAAGTTACTGCAAATTTAACATTGTCAAATATCAGACAATATATGTCAGACATAACAATTTATACAAATGTATTGCTCACTTCCTATTGTGAAATATGGTTAAAAAAACTCACTTGCTGTTGTTCCATAAACTAGTTAAGAAAGTACTCCTTATTTTAACTATAAAAACCTATCAAAATATTTGATGACTTACTCATCCAGCTGATAGTGGAAGTCTTCTGTTGAGGCTTGCTTGCCAATGATACGCCTGGCAGCCCAGTGAGCATCAATGAGGCACCAAGTGCCATAAATGTAGACGGCATTCCATGAATGTTGGTTGGTTCCTGGTGTGAATTTCTGACCAGGTCTGTAGTCAGCACCTTTGGCATAGCCACTGATGATCTTAGAATGGAGACCGGCATAACTGTTGGAGAATTCATTAAATAATTTTTTTTAATGGAGGGAAGTTCTACACCATCATGTTTTTATTTCTAAATTATTGGTACCCGGTATACATAATTATATCTACATAAATCATATAGTTTATAACTTATTCACTTTACTTGCATTTTGTCATATTCCCTATTTATTGGAATTAAGAAATATATTTAAAATAAAATATATGAAGTGTACATATATTGGCATAGATTTTACATTCCACACAAGTTCAAAATGGTCAATGTTGCTCATTTTTTAAAAAAAATTGAAGTGTAAAAATAAAGCTCATTAACTATTGGTAAAATAAACTTATGCATTCTCAACTTTATAACTACTTACTTGCACATAGTGTCAAACACCATGGCGTACGTAGTCTTTCCAGTTTTGAGACCCATCAGCACTTCTTCGGGACTGCCTTTGTCCACTTTGTCAAAATTCATTTCTTTCAAGTTCTTTGTTGCCAACCAACGGAAAATAACTCTGAATGAGAAGTCCAAAAAGAAAGTCAGTGAAGAGAAATCAATTTTAACTATGCAATTATTTCACATTTAAATTTTAGATTTTTCAAAACACATTACTAAAGTTTTTTAAGTAAATTTTTTCATGCATATCTAAATTACACAAACTGGAATTTTCTAATTTATTAAGCAGCCATGACCAGAGGTTAGTTTTTAGTAAGTCAAAAGAAAAGAGTCTTAGCACCTGACTTTCTCTAGTTCATTTGTAATGTTCTTTGAATAGATCAAATCCCAGACCAGATCTCTGAAATTGTTGTGTTCTGATTTAGAAACCTGAAATAAACAATACATTTTACAGAAGTGCCCTTTCACAAACAAGAGACTTTGCATCGTCACAAAGAACTTTTACATAATTGCAGCTAGAAAGCCAATGTGTGCATTTTCTTACATTATTACAGTTCCTAGTGAAGTAAACTTTTCAAAGAAAAATATATTGTCTCCCTCACAGCATTGTAAATTTATACCATTATATATTATCTTGTTTTAAAATTCCTGAAAAGAGACAGTTATTTGTTATTTTGAGAATGTCTACCTGAATAGCATGGTCATCTACAGATTGCAAAACATGTCTGTCAATAGCCTCTAATGTGGGCTTCTGTTGGGAGCCTGCAGGGGCAGGGATGGGGGCTTCTTCTCTTTCTGTCTTTGGCTGCAGCTGGAAGGATGATGGAGCAGCCTGACCTTCCTGGCCAACAGATCTTTTCTCTACCTGTTCATCAAAGAAAAGGGTGTTTTATTTTCATTTAAATATTTGGTTTATAGAAACTTTTGACAGATTCTTCTTTTCTATAACAATAATCTATTAGAACTGCAAGTATAACAAATCAGATGAAAGAAAGATGATTCCATACATTGCTTAAGTCTTCTGTTACACCACTGTTGTCAGCAAAGTCACAAAATCAATACATTTGTAACTTTGTATGATCAGGGCAACGTTTGTACGTGAAAACCCATATTATTTGCGCTGCATTCTATCTGAAAGAGTTCATCAACCTTAAATAACAGAAACCCCACTACGTCTAAGAAATGGGTTACCTCAAGACTTTTATTTTTGAGGACTGATATAATACTGCCAATATTCAGTTGATAAGTCTAGTCCTCTAAAACTGCTTTATCTTGTATAAATATTAGTAGTTTATCACCTGTATTGGTTTAGTGCTAACAGGAATCTGGATCACTTCTGCTTTCTGTGGTTTCTGGCCAGAAGTTTGACCGACACCTGGGGCATAGGATGTGTAGCTCTGACCCTGGGGGAAAGTAAGATTGCTCTGGACAGCCTGCTGTCTGCTGTCAGGAACTGTTCCATACAAGTACTGTTGCTGCAAGAGTTCTGGTGGTGGTGGTGGGAACTCCTCATCACCATAGCCATCCTGTTGGTACAGGAATAGTTAGCTTATAATGGCAGGTATAAAAGGTCAAATAAGTTTTTTTTAAATTATTTTTAATTATTGGATCATCAGATGTTCCTAAAGTTGTGGGGAGGGGAGCACTTGCTCTTACACTTCAAATCACATAGTATTTTCTGAATGACTTCTACAATGAGGGTATAATAAACCATTCAAAATCACCAAATAGAATGTTCCATATTGTTACAATAGTGTTATAAAAAAAAAAAAGACAGTACTCATACTGCCTTGGTTTTCCATCATGATGGTACATGGAGCATTCCAGTTGCATATGTGTGAGTGAAAGCTATGCTAAATGTTCCATTGAAATTTGACACTTTTAAACAAACCAATCATTTTTAAAAATTAATATTTATAATAGAAAATATTTGACAATTAAATGATAAAACAAAGGCAGTATAGGGGACCATACGCAGTAATTTTACCTGTGCAAAGTAGAAATATTCATAAATTTCCACTAGTCTAAGTAAAACTTATCATAATGATATTGTTATTAAATTGGTTTAGTTCGTATTATCCTCACCCCAGCAGAATTAGCAGTGTATTTTCCAGGTTGAGTTGTAGCCTGTTTCCCGGGCGCCAGTCCCCTTCTCTCTGGAGACTCTTGGTAGAAAGCTCCTTGTTGCTCATTGCGTGGTGCAAAGTGCACATAGTACTGGCAGATATGAGTGTACGTGTCTCCATCTTTGGCTGGATCATTACCATATACCTCAATGCCATACTCTCCTTTAGCAGGAAGCTGTGCAGTCACCTGGAAAAAAAATTGTTTTATTTTCAGCTGTAATCAATCAACCATCTCAAATCCCAAATAAAGAAATTCAAGAATCAGACTTTAACTGAGATGATTCAATAGGTCAGTATAACATAGAAAATTATAATCATATCGACTTAGAAAATGTAAGTCATCAATTTAAAATTTAATTTGAATTCAAATGAAAATGCTTACTCTAACAACATCTCCTTCGTCTTGTTCTTGGATGTACTTCTCAAGCTCTTCATCTTTCATTCCATTCTTGCGCAGTTTACACAGAATGTAGGCCGGCTTAGTCTTGGCAAACTCTAGATTGACACGACCATCCTCTGTGGTGACTATGCCATCAGGAGGTGTTGCAACAATGCCCAACTGGTCCACAGCCACACCGGGTCCCCAGCTGCTGTCAGAGCAGGCAGGCAGAGGAGCGGCATCAGAAGATGCAGTGTCAATTATTACCTGAAAAATTCATAGCAGACATTACTATTTCTTTAGAATTTTACATTGGGATTGAACGCCTGCACTTCTTGTATGTTATTTTGATAATAGTCAATAAATCTTTGCCTTTTTAAAGACTTAACCAATTATAGAAACATTTATTTTGTAGGCTTAAGTTTTATTTTTGTATACTTGTAGAAAGCTATCTAATATTTTAAAAACAAAAAAAATCGGTCTAGCATTCTTTCTACTCTGCTGACCTAATTAAAAACACAAAAATCAGTTTAACATACTTTATACTCTGCTGATGCAGTGAAGATGTTCTTGACCCCCAGTTCACCAGTCAGCAGTTGACCAAAGATTGTAAAGTAATACTGGCCAGCGCGTGGAGCACGAAAGATGAAAGTAGTGGTCTGGTTCTGGCCTTGATGCTGAAGGGCATAGTTTTTGAGCTTCTGTCCCTGGTAGACCTCTTCCCCAGTGTCAGCAAAAGTAATCTTGTATCTGTTTTTTTTAAATGGTTTTCACATTAAGAATGTGTTACTTTACTTAGGCTTATGGTAAAACTACAGAGCCCAAACTTTCTAAAACATTTGACCCAGTTTATCACGACAAATTTTCAGACAGGCAAAAATACAAATTTTATATACTCTAAAAATTACAAATACATGTTGAGCATAAACATACGTGAAATTTGTTGGCTTGCAAAATCCTAGTGTCAAGGCCAGCCTTCCTTTCTTAGCATCCACCACACCATTGTGATGAGAGATAAAGAACATGCCACACTTAAAGAAATAAGATTTGACCAATGGCAGATTCTCAAAGTCCTGCAAGGTAACAGGGGTCAGGAGCAACTGCCACTCATTCTTGTGAGCCCAGTGGCTGTAAATGAGCTGCTCAGGGTCAGTCAGGAAGTAGAAGTCATCATACTCATAGACCTGTTAAACAGATGTCATGTCACACAGATCAATGATAAATCATTCCATAATGTAATAAATAACGATACCAAAGAAGCAGATGCCATGATCGTAATATGTCTATAGCTAGACATCTTGCCCCATATTCTAATGCCCATCCACCAGGCATTTGATTAAATACTACAAACTTCAAACCCTGACCATCATCAGGAAGTCCAAACATGCCATGTTTTGTATGATTTTGAAAGCGAGAGCTTGACATAAAATGAACTTAAATTTTAATAAGTCAGTCTAAAATAACTAGTAAAGTTTAGTAAGACTTCCCTATTAAAAAAATATTTCTTTTTAATAAAATGCTCTCAAGGTATGCTCATAAACAAATTTTAAAAAGACTATCAAATTTAAGCTGAATAAATAGTCATTAAAATTCTGGGACTTTTTATATATAGTACTGTTTTCATTAAACTTATCTGAAACTTATATTTCAACAAAATATTGAAGTATCCCAACACACTTACAAGATTCTCTGGCATGTTTTTTTCAGAGACCAGGTATCGGGTAGCCCAGTGGGAGTCGACCAAATACCAGTTGTTGTCAATGAGAACAGCATTCCAGCTGTGATTGTACTCATTGCCCTTGAATTTGTCTCCTGGGCGGTAATCCAGACCCTTGGCGTAGCCAGTAAGTACTATTGAGTGGACTCCAGCGAATCTTAAAAAAGACAAATTACATCTCAAAGTCGTTTCAATACTTAATTCTGTGATAACTTGTATAAACACAAAGACATAAACATGAAAAGTAATTAAATGATATAAAGTTCATACGTACAACTTGGCAAATCTTTTATTTCATAAAAAAATTATTAGGCCATTATTAATATAAATTCTTAACATCCACCCCCCTCCACACACACATTAAAAAAAAAAAAAATATGTGCACCCACCCTCCAATTTGGATGCCTCTACTATAAATGAAATACAAATCAGATCACAAGGCACCTACCGACAAAGTGTTTCAAAAATGCGAGCATATGTTCCCTGTTTGTTCTTAAATGAAAGAATCACTTCTTCAGGACTGTTGGGCTTGGCACCATCACGAAATGAGATGGTGTACATGTTTTTGGAGGTCATCCATCGAAAGATCACTCTGTACAATTATAAGTGATGTCATTAAAACCAATAAGGTTTTTTACATCTTCAAAATTAGTATTAAAAAAATTTGAGACCAAATTATTTCTTTTTTTTTTTTCCCCAGAATATTAACTAAGGTTTTGTTTAAAAAATCAATTATACCATTAAAAAAACCTCAAAGTTTTTTTGTTTATAAATAATATGTTAATATCCATTTCAATAACCTTCTAAGATCTTTTATTAATCCTTATGCATTATTGAAATAAAATGAGAAATGAAGGAGATTACCTGCATTTGTCCAAATCAGCCTGAAGGTTCTGGCTATAGACCAGATGGTAAATCAAGTCTGTAAAGTTGTCATGTTCAGTTTGGGCCACCTGGTTGGAGATTACATTTACTCAAATAAAGCTTGAAATATTTACATAAATAATATAAGCAAAGGTGTCACATTTCCTTTTTTTTCTCTTTTAATTACTATTATTTTAAAAATATTTTTAAAAAGGAAATGATTAAGAATATTAGTACATTGAAAGAGTGATTGATCAATCTACTTCTTTTAGAGCTCGGAAAATTTATATTTGGAAACTAAAGTTAATTTATTACCTGGATGGCATGGTTGTCTATAAAGTAAAACTGTTGGACATTTCTATAGAGGTCAAACTTTCTGTAGCGAGCATGGACAGGAGGAGCATGGACCTGTCGTGCCCTGGAATCCTCAGGTACAAAGTTAGGCGGTGCCTTGATCTGCATTGCTGCCACTCACACTTCTGTCAATTCTAATCAAGAAATAAAATGTTCACTGTTTAAGTGTAACAGTTTATAATGAATAAATGTTTACATCCATAAAATGCCAGAAGCAGGTTAAACTTTTTGCATGAAAAATATTTTAAAACTTCACTCCGTTCTTCTTAACGAAGTACATATATCTTTAAGAGTAGTTATATAACTCATGTGTAATCCATTACTGAAATTCTAGTCATTGGGGGATAGGAATCATAAATTATAGAAATTATCAATTATCTATAAAATCCAGTCAATATATTTTGTTTAAAAACTAAAAAGTTGTATTTTTTTTAAGTTTATAAAAGTAAATATTTCTAAGACTACTATTTCAATAAACAAAGTAACAAATAATTAAAAATAACAGACTTTGATTGAATATATTATAGTCAATTATGAACATCTACACATCTGTAAATATCTAATTATTATAACTATATAATTATATAACAAGTATAAAACCCCTGCTCATTGAACAGCTTGAGATCAATCTGGTTAAGTTAATGTTGTGGTAGCTGGGCATGTTCACTGAACATGGCGGTACATGTGTATGATGGATTGTTACGCTGCTGGTGACAAAAACTATCTGACGTGTGTAAACACCTTAAGGAAGCACAATATGACTGGTTACACCAGCACGCCACAGCACGGTAACGGAAACACTGAGTGAGTGGGAGGGATCTATGACTGACTGTGGGATGGACAGGTCAGCAACAGTATACTATACAATACATTTTTCTTATCATCACGACTGCTGATATAATTCTACTTATTGGCCTGGTTTTACACTTCTTATAATGTTTCCTTGCATATGATTTTAATTATTTTTGCTTATATGCAATTGTACTTATAAATCTGCTTACATACAAGTCTACTTGTTCTGCTCATACTCATACAAGTTGAAAATTACGAGCTGCTTTAAGACTTAGGTCTATGTTGTTTGCGAATATGTACGCTCCTTAAAAACGCCTGATGAATTTTTATTTAAAAACCCAATAAATTCAATGTGTCGTTTAGAGTGCAAGGATTCTCAACTTCCGTTACACCATAATGCAAAGTCAAATGTATTAAACACTTTTAAGCACTTTAAAAATGAAGGACTATAATAATCACTATTGAGCCACTCTGCTATCCCCTGCGGGCAGACAATGTATCCTTATAGAGAGTGTATTCCTCGTAACTGAGTCTGCTTCTAATATTGATAATTAGATTCGTCTTCGCCACCGCCACACACACACACCCTACAAATACACCCACCCACCCACACACAAACTGAACTCTTACAAACTTGGCTTACTTGGCGAATCCCATCGACACCAAGGGATGGAACAAACTGTTTTGTTACAGATGAACCGAAAACTATGTGGCTAGATTCTCTTACACCATGGGCTGCCAAAGCCAAAGCCTGTCTCTCAGCTATGTTGGATTGAGCAATACAAACACGCTGAGAGAGTAGTATATCCAGTTAGTCATCTTTTTTCTATGATTCATCGGACTATAGAGATGAATTTTAACAAATAACAATTTCTAAGAGTGTCACTTTTTAATGGCGGAACTAGTAAGGAAGTCAAGTGTTGGTGACTTGACTTTCGTGTTCAATTTACTTCTCCAAGTCAACTCTAAAAAAATATCTTTATTAGGGAAAGCCAAGCACGAGATCAGCTGAATCCAACTTTTCTTCCATCCATCAGACAATGACAAGAGTTACAAAACATTGTTCATGAACAAAATTTTTCAATGTACCCGGTTTATGATACGACGTGCATGTTTTCATTTCCACTGGAATCTATTTATAGCCAACGGTTCTGGTCTATGTGAGGGAGTCCAGGCTGATTTAACTATGACCCAAAACTGAATCTGCTAACTCCAGAAAATAGCATGCTCAATTAAGGGTCACTAATTTACGATTGCCCGTACAATTTATGAATCCCTGGGGTATTCTATAAAGATACCCTAACGCCATAGAGCAGAATAGCCGATTCGACGTCTCCATGCTACACAATGAGTGTCAGAGAGAAACCTGGGATGAATCAAAACATTACCGCCCCGGGGGGTGAGTCACCGCGAAACGGTAGTGTACAACTGGGTCATATCATCCCCTGCAACCCTACCCATCTCACAACCACCCTCTACTCTACACTCTTGATATCCAGGAACAAGTTGAACTTTATACATTACACTATTTCACATACCAACAGAGCAGCGGATATAGATAGTAATATAAGAAACACAAAGAGTGTTGATTAAACTGTTCATAAAAAATGAAACTTTCCGATCGGAAAAATATAGACAAGTCAGTAAAGATAATTTAATCCATGCGTATTTTGGTTTATATTGGACGATACACTTGTAAAACACTTATTTAATGTAATAAACTTAAAGTGTAAGCATTAATAATTTTATTAAGGAAAAAAAATGAGCAGAGGGAGCGGGGGTCCCCAATTTTGATTGCCAACGAATAATTATTTAAATCCACTATGTTAGGTAGCACAGTGTAATTGTTTATATCCCTTCCATTCGGTCCATTGGATTGGCTCAAGTGCTCGATTCATTTGTTTTACATCACGACGAGAAGCTCATCTCGTAATGCTGAGTAAGAGTTAGGACATTCTATAGTAGGACATGTTTGAGGAGATTCGAAAATATAGTGATATAGATTTTATGTACTCGGAAAGCGATAACTTAATGTTTACAAAATGTGTTGTGCCTTCGTTTTAATAATTAAACATTCATCAAGAACAGGAACTGTTAAACCAACAACGTCACAAATATAATTACTATCGGTAAGAGTTTCGTCCCATTATTCCAAATTGAGCGTATGACGCGTGCACGACATCAGACCCATAACAATTTTGCCATTTCCATGATGACCACACCCCAGGAACTTGGCCTGCTCCCTCTCTCGTCACGTGCGTGCGTTACGACAGAGGTGGTGAGGGGGTCATGACCCACGTGAATGATGACTGCTGTGTTTCACCGTGTCACCGTCACTTGCAATTTACGGCCACTGTCAAGCATAACGTTATATAAGATTGGGACGTAGGTCAGGGGCCGGCTTCCTGGGACACATGAGCTACTTGGCTACGCAACAGCTCTGCGGCATTTCTGTTGTTTACACTTGACGAATGCAAGCTATTAAGTGCTGGACACGCCCTGGTGCTACACATGCCATCTGGACACACACCTCCCACTACATTTATGAGCAAACAATCCCAACTCGCCGATAATACCACGGACTTTGTTTCAAAGATTAGTCTGTAGCAACTTGAGTGATAGGCTTACTTCCCAGTCAAATGTCAGGGGATGTGTGTGCATGTGCCTTGTAAAATAGGAGGAAAAAGAACGAGATGGCAACAAAACTTCAGTTAATTAATGCGTTTTGCAACATTGCGCCAGTATGTAGTGAACAATTTACCAATTTTCATGTTAATCATATATATATATATATACATATACATGACATATATATATATATATATATATATATATATAAATATAGATAGATAGATAAATATATATATATATATATATAGATATATATATATATATATATATATATATATATATATATATATATATATATATATATATATATATATACATATAAATAAGATATATATATATATATATATATATAGATAAATATAGATAGATAGATAAATATATATATATATATATAGATAGATAAGTAAATATATATATATATATAGATAAATATATATAGATAGATATATATATATCTATATATAAATCTATATTTATATATATAGAGATAAATATATATATATATATATATATATATATATATATATATATATATATATATATATATATATATATATATATATTTATTGTATATTTTT